GGTGGGGGTGGGGGTGGAGCCTGTGGGCAAAGCTCGCGGTCGTGCGCGAGGACTTAAGGCTTGCTCTTCTGTCCCCCGTAGACTCGGCGCAGCATGGCATCCGTGCTTGTGACGAGGCTGCTGGCGTCCGCCCTGAGCCCTCTGCTCCGTCGGAGGCCTCCCCCGGCCGTGCCCCGCGCGCTCTCCACTCTCCTGCCCGGACCCCTTCGCATTGCAGGTGCCGCTGGTGCGAAGCCCAGGGCGTCGGGGCCCGCGGGGCTGCGCGGCCACCTGCTGCCCGGCCTGCAGCTGCCCGGCCTGCAGCTTGCCCTGGGGTTCAAGACCAAGGGCGTCATCAAGGAGCGCTGCAGGGACTGTTACCGGGTGAAGAGGCGCGGGCGCTGGTTCATCTACTGCAAAACGAACCCAAAGCACAAGCAGAGACAGATGTAGTTCCCGTCACTAAAAGAACGTGCGAAACTGCGCCACTTCCCTGAGGAAAGGTCCCTCCTACCGAAAGAAAAATAAAATGTAAACACTGCCTAATCTTTGCGGACCCTCAGGTCTTCTTGACCCTATTGCCAGGGCACTCACCTCCTGTCGCAGCCCAGGCCTATCAGCTAGACAAGCAATCCCCGAATGGGAAACGCATCCTTCTTATCTTCTGTGCAAGCTGTGTGTGCTCAGGCTGGAGGGCAGAAGGTAAGGCAGAGGGAGAGCTGATCTTGCCCCCGAGGTCAGAATGCAACCCCGTTAGGAAGAACCAGATTCCCTGGGAAGGACGGTCCCGTGAGGCCGAGCTCAGCCTGGCTCTGCATTCAGCTAGAGTGCTGCTCTTACGGGACTTCAGATTCCTTTTCTCAGCATTCTTGTCTTGAGGATAAGTGTGAAAGCCTTGAAAGCAGTTTTTAAGTCAAGGACAATTCAACTTTCCATATGCAAAGGTATTTCAGATATCGGTTCAGCGTGTTTGTCATCTGTCACGAGACAACATGCACACGTGTGTGGTGTGTGCACATGTTTGTACATGTGTGGTGTGTGTGTGTGTGTGTGTGTGTGCAGGGCACCCACCTGGAGGGTGTGTGCTGGGCAGAGCGGCTCTGGTACCCTCTGCAGGCGTGTGGCCTGGAGCCAGGGGCGCAGGAGTTCCTGTGTCTCCTGTCTTAGCGTTATGGCTGCCTCACCCACATGATTTGAGCTCCACACAGTGGCCCTCCCTGGCTGCCTTCCTGTCCAGGCCACGGCTGGAGCGGATTATACTAGGTGGGATGGCAGTACAGGGAGGTGCGTGTGGGTAAGCAGCATGTGCAGAGGCCAGTGACGGCCTGGCACAGGGACTGGGATTCCTCAGTCATGCTGCTCCCCAGGAGGTGGGGTCCAGGCTGAGACCTGCAGGACCAGGGAGAGTGAGATGCCGGGGCGGCGCCAGTGAGGGTCTGAGCAGCATCGTGCTCGTGGAAAACTGGATGACCCCCCAGCCCACGGGCAGCTCTGTGAGCCATGCTCAGGCACTGGGCACATAGTCCTGGCCTTGGGGGTCCTGACTGTGGTACCCAGATCCCCAGCACAGAGCCCAGGAGAAGGAAAAGAAGAAAATGCCGTTCCCTGGAGCACTTCATCCTGGGAGAAGGTGGGATTCTGCTAGTTCCGCTGGAGTAAAGACCTTTCCTCCTCAGTGCTTGCAGTACTTCCGGGACCCATGCCCGGGTTCAGGTGCAGCCAGGCCTCACAGAGACGGAAACACATAGATGTGCAACATAATGTGTTGTATTTGAATTGAACCGTGTTGCGTGCAGATGCTCTGAGGGTGGTAATTACCTGTCTAGATTTCAGTCCCAGAACGACCGCAGGATAGGTCTGTGACATTAGGCGGGTTCTCCCGCTCGGCAGTGCTGGCCCTCAGGACAGATTTTTCTCTGTGCCTGGCTGTCCAGGGCACTGCAGGGTGTGCAGCATCCTTGGCCCCCTCCCCCTGGGTGCCAGGAGCACCCTCATCCTGGTCGTGACAACCAGAAATATCTCCAGACACGGCCAAGGATCCCTGGGGGCATGTTCCCCCCTAGGGGCTAATACTACTCACCCCTCCCCACAGGTTCATCCGAGAACTGAAGCCCTGGGCTGGGCAGCGCCTGTTTCTGTCCTGCTTCGCTCTCAGTCGGCTCCAACACCTGGTCCATAGGAGGCACTCAACGGTGCGTGTGCAATTACATGGCAATGACATGAGAGTGCCCCTTATAAACAGCCGTTTGTCCTCTCCACTTAGCTGGAGCAGGCTCATCCCGGAAGGCTAAGCCCACAGCTTTGTTCTGGAGAGTTGGCCGGCGGGTCCTGTCCGTGGGAACGCAGCCACGTCCCACACGGGGCAGAAGTCTGGTGCCACAGTGGTCTTGGACACGTGAACAAACACACACACACCACACACACCTTACTTTTCAGTGGTTTTCTCCTCGATAGGTCAGTGTGAGGTCTTGCCCTTGTGAGCGTCTGGCTCTGTGCGGGGCTGACAGCGCTGGTGTTGTGTATACAGACGCTCGAAGGACAGGCAGTGATGGGTGTATTGCAGCCGTGGGGCCCAAGTCCACGGGAACCCGGGATTATAATCGACAAGCTGGAATTCTAACAGGGCGTTGATAGGTTTTTAAATCGTTTGTTCCTCTTGGAATTATTAGTCTCTCTGATCTGAGGTGACAGCCTGTGTGCTGACCAAACCCTCGTTACGACTCAGTTACTTTCCAGTATCTGGATAGACCAGCATTTACAGCCCGGAGCTTCCAGTGTAGCTGGATCATACGGTAGTTCTGTTTAATCTTTTGAGGAACGCCCGAACTGTTTCCTTTAGTCTTAGAACGTGAGTGGAGAAAACAGATGTATTCTACGGTTTCTTTATCCCTTTGGGATGTCTGGACATCAGTGCCATCAGTTTCTCCAAATGAGGGTCACTTGCTTGTCATTAGCCAGAGGTGGGCAAGCCCCGCCACTGCCTGTTCTTGTCAATAAAGTTTTATTGGAACACAGCCACGTTCCTTCCTTCATGCGTCGTCTGTGGATACTTCCGTGCTGCGTCGACAGACCTGAGCGACTGTGTCAGAGGACCTAAAGTGTGGGCTCCCCCGCCCTCTACAGAAGACATCCACCAACCCGTCCAGAACCCTGTCTCCAGCGAGCGCAGCCTCCGGCCGTGGGGGCCCATGTTGTACGTGAGCGCACACTGTGGTCAGTTCAGCAGTGTGCAGAGAGGTTCTCAGGTGCCCCGGGCTGTTCATCTCAGCTCCAAACACCTCCGAACAGCACTTACTCATTTAAAAAGTCACGCTGTGTAAATAAAAAGAAGATTTAAAAAAAATGTCCCGACTTTCCTCTCCTCCCTCCAGTGTTTGCTGTCCTCTGAACCCGACTGAACACATGTGTGTTTTGGATTCCCGTCACACTGGGCATGCCATTTGTGAACACTTGCCCCCACGTAGGACCTGAGCCTTCCTGAACTCAGGCTGTCCTGGCTTTTTGTTGTTGTTGCCAAGTTTAAATCTTGAAATGATGTGCTTTCCCTAAATTTAAAGTTTAAAGCCTTTAACAGCGAATTGAACCCGTCTTCTCAAGGTGGCCAAAGAATACTCTTCGGGAAGAATGTGAAGGGCACATCAGTCGCGTGTTTACAAAAACCTCCTTTGCTTTCTGTGGCCTCTGTTGTTCACCTGAGTGGCCAGGTGGGCAACAGCCACATAACGTTATGTGCCCACCGGCTTTGGGAAGGGCCCTCCCTTTTTTCTGCAAATGGGTGCAAATATATAATGGACATTAATTAACGTGTTTCATTAATTATACTTCCAGGACATTTCTTTACTAGAGACCAAGGTGACGCAGGGAACATCGGTAGTGGATTAGTTACCAGACTTGGTGACTTAAGCAACGAAAGTTTATTCTACCACCCTAATCATGGTGATTTCACTTCAAGATCCTTAATTATACCTGTAAAGACCCTATTTCAAATAAGATGATAGTCTGAGGTTTTGGGTAGACATAAATTTATCAAGGACCCTATTCAATCCTCTATAAACGGATGCAAAATATTTTTGAAAATAATTTTAAGTTATTGCTAATAGGTAATGCATCCACATTGTTTAAAATGCAGAAGTTGCCTGAGGCTGTGGTGTTTGTCTTTCTCTTCAACTCCAGGCCCAGGCCTGTCCCTGGAAGCAAGCAGGATCATCTTAGGTCCCATGAATATCCAAGCAAATCCCTGTGATTCCTGCCCCCTCCCCGTTTTGCACGCCCACCCAGACCTGGGAACATATCTGCGCAGGGGCCCATACGGGCAGCCAGAGGGTTCCTCCTTGCCCCAGGCACCTCTGCCCCTAGTTTCCTCAACAAATTGGGATAGGATAATGTAAGCCTTGTTTCTGATTTAGGACATTTTTCTGCATTTGTACAAATTTTTATTTCCTCTTTCCTTTTCTGATGTATAGAGCATTTTGACCATTCGAGCATTTGTAATTAGTGGTTGTGATTCCCAATTAGAGGTCAGTCATTTTTTCCCTCCAGACTTGTCATTTTTCTTTTTAAGAAGCATGAGAAAAAGGAGAAACAAAGAGCTGTTTTTGCGTTGCATGAGAAATTGACTTTGGCTGTGTCAATATTCAGAAACAGAGCCCTCAGGAAGCTGGCCTGCTGGGCCTCTGGGGTCTAGCCAAGCAGCCCCCATGTGTGGGCTTCAGACACATTCCCTCCTCTGGCCACAGCATGAAGGATTCATGGGCTTTCTCTCAGAAAGTGATGCATGTTTTCAATTACAGAGTGATGTCAATACATGACAGAGTGTGGATCACTGTGCAGAAATCCTAGGTCACCTGCTGTCATGGGGAGTCCAGAGTGTGGCTTTTGCTAATAGTTCTGGCTCAGGTATCGCCGTTCCTTCGGTGGTTAACGGCATGGGATCACCTACTGCAAAACTTTTATCAGTTTAATTACCTAATGTGCCGTTTGAGATAGAAGAACAGATGGAGCCTTTTCTGATTAGTGAATCAAAAGTTGTGACTGGGGCGCCTGGGTGGCTCAGTTGGTTAAGCGTCTGCCTTCGGCTCAGGTCATGATCCTGGGGTCCTGGGATCGAGTCCCACATCGGGCTCCCTGCTCGGCGGAGAGTTTTCTGCTTCTCCCTCTCCCTCTGCCTGCCTCTCTGCCTGCTTGTGCTCTCTCTCTCTCTCTGTCAAATGAATAAATAAAATCTTTAAAAAAAAAACAAAAACAAAAGCTGTGATTCTTCATTTATTTAGCTGCTCACCCAAATATTTATTAAGCTTTTATTTTGCATCACATACCGTGCTAAATATATGGTGTATATATGTAGATTCATGCATGAAAAGAGTCCTACTTGATCAGCTGAAGGTGTTCGATCAGCTATATATTCTGTCCACTGCGGGAGACGGGCTGGTGGTTTACACAGGATACGCCATGTCCTGCCCTCATCTGTGGAGGAAGGCACTCGGAGCTGCTGGAGCAGCTGTCCCTGTCTGGTCTCTTTCTGTCCTGTCCCTCACCAACAATTCTTGATCCTTGGTTTCCATGCTCACAGGAACCTCATGGCACAAGACGGTGACAGGAGCCCCAGCTCTTACATCCAACATTCCGGGCAGACAGGCTGGGAAGGGCTGGAGGACGAACCTGACGCCCACCCCTCCTCACGTCCCTCTCATCCTTTCAGTAAGCAGCTCTCTGAGACCCACCCAACTATTTGCTGACTTATGAGAGGCTACCCCTTGCTTCAAAGGCGGAAAAGCACCATCTGTCAGCTGTGTGGGGCTGGCGAGGCTCTGCTGCTGTGGAAGGAAAGAAGGGGACGGACGCCCGACCTGCAGTTGCTCACAGTGCTCCTGTCTGTGTCCGGAACCTTCTGTGCCTCCCGGTGAAAATCTGGGGAGGGAAGGAGAGGGAAGTCTTCGGCCCACCCCGGAATGCTCAGGAAAGCCCGCTCCTTGCGAATGGCAGGTGGTGGGACTCCAGCAGTTAGTTTTGGCTTCATGCCCAGTCCAGTTTGCCGGGAGGGCTTCACACGGCTTCAGCGCTCCCGGTAACGCAGAACTGGATGTGCTGTTGCTGTTTGGAACCCAGGCTCTGCTGTTTGCTCTAGTATTTAGAGCAGTCACTGTCGGACTTCCAGGGTATTACTCTGGACCCCCCCGAAGTAGGCTTCTTCGCCCTCCATCCGGCTCCCCTGTGCTGAGCAATGGGCCTCCCTTGGGGCGGCTCCGCCAGGAGGGTGGCTCCCAGATGGGCAGGGGAAAGGGGCGGCGGAGCACCAGCTCCTTCCCACCCTGGCTCTGCAAAGGGCACCCCAGGCCCTGTCAACATGGGTCTTACCACGTCCCAGACTCACGCGGGCCCACCCCTGGGGTCAGGGTCAACGGAAGGCCGCAGCTGCTCTCCTAGCCCCTGTCCCTGCCTCCCTCTC